CATAGCATTTGTCTAGATTATATACATACAAATGTTTTTAGGATAATATTTTTAGCTTACATACCGAACATTAGAAAATAAGTAACAAATCCACTTATTTTGCAAGAAATCATTTTCCTTCACTCTGAATGCACCCTTAATGGAAGTTAGAAATAAACAATCATCTAATAAGATGTCAATGTGCCAGGCTGCCAGCAATTCGTAGAATATTCAGTTGTTAACTTTGATGGAGCTCCCCTATTTTCATTCAAAACATCTGATGAAAATATACTCTATTTATTAAACACTGAAGATAACAAAAGCTTATATTTCTTAATCATTGTTTCTAAAATATCTTGAGCAAATTGACTTGGATTCTAACCAAAGAAGATACACGGAATAGAAAGGAAAACAAGAAACTTAATGACTTCCAATTTAAAGTATGTTTAAATCCATGATCTACAAAATCGATTCAAGTTTGAAAATTTGCTGTAAGTGGATAACTAATAAACAGAATTCGGTCAGTAACAAGTTCAATGTGTAACAGAAGAAAGTACACATGCATATAAGCCAAGGAACAGTGACGGCACCTAAAGAATTTGTGGTTTAATAGAGAAACTTGCAATTTTTCAAGGCCTAGAAGTTTGATTAACTTACCAACTCAGGTACATAATCAGTTCCTTCTTTCACCTTCAAACTTATGATCTTGAACTTTACTTTGGTCTTTTGATCTACTATAGGCTTCTCATTGTTTTCAGGTTGTTCAATAAACTTGAAGACTGTCAATCAGATACATAACAAAAAATAAATGGAAGATGTAAAAACAAATATCTGTTTTCCACTCAAAACAAAAAAGGATATTAAATTAATTGAAATAAAAGTGAGGAGAAATTTATACCAGTAGCAATCAAGCTTTCCCCAGGTACAAGAATACCTCCAGGAGGTCGCATGTAGCAACTCTTTGGTGCAGTAGTTTGAAACTGAAAAATTCAAAAGGAACCAGAAACTTACTTAAAAACTCAAAAAGGAATTAGAAGCTTAAACCACTGCTTATTTAATCATCCATATGGATTAATGGTTAAGATAACAATACAATGTCTTTGAATTGAATTTCGCAAGAAACATCACAAATTATATAACGTAAGCAAGTTATAAATCAGTAAGCTACTGCATGCAAAAAGTGATGCAGAAATGGTAAAGCCGGTAAAATATCAATGGCACCGCATACTCAAACTATGTTTCAACTAAAATAAAAATTTTAAAAATCTGCATTTGTTATCAATGCCAAAAAGCTTGAAAGGCTGCAAACACAAGAAATAACGGGAAATATTTTACCTTGAATGCTACAAAAGATTTGCTTGTGTTCTTAATCTTTATGGCACTCTTCGCCTGCTTTCCCGGTTCATCTTCAGAACACAAAAGTAAAACAGCAACCATCATTCTATCATTGCCAACATAACATAGCTAAAACAGAATTTCATTGCTTCAAACATGAATATAATATTATTTGGTACAAGGCAAAATGTTTTCCTTGATAAAATCATTCTCCAGTGTTCAATTAAGTGATCAATGAAGTGAATTGAGCACCATGAGGTCTCAGGTTCAATTCCCAATAGAGACAAAACACTATGTGATTTCTTGCCATCTGCACGTATTGCTAGTGGGAGGTGACAGATATCTCGTGGAATTAGTCGAGGTGGGCAATCTGGTGAGGTGACAGATACCTCATGAAATTAGTCCAGGTGAGCGCAATCTGGCCCAGACGCCATGGTTATCAAAAAAAAAAAAAAACAGAAGTATCTTCCTTTCACTTATGGTCAGAAACCATTTTGCTTTACAAATATCATAACTCCGACTAGATATCACTAGATTTCAAGTTTATAGGTTCTGAATAGATTTTTTGTACAAATGAAATGAATATTTTTAACAAAAATACAGAATTTGAGCCCAAATTACTTTTCTTCGTACTATGAATAATTCAAACAATAACAATTTCTTCGAACCTAACGACTTTAAAGTGCAATAAAGTAGTATAGGGTTTAGGAGCGATGACTCACATGGAAAGTAGAGATTGTTAGAAGGATCGAGCCGGAGCCGACGCTTAGCCGGAAATATCGATTTAGTGAAGGGGCAAAGCCACGAGAGTTTCCCGTTGGACTGCTGTCGCTTGCGGTGGTCGGCGGCAGCCATGGTGGAATGCCGATGATAACTTTCAATTTCAGGCCATAAACAAATTTAGGGGAATGAATGTTGTCGTTTAGGTGGAGCTAAAAGTTTGACTTTAATTTATTTTTTTGGGAAGACGTATATATAAGTCAAAAAAGATGATAATATTATGGACTTTTTCGTACGTTTATCAACTCGTCAAATCAAGTTTAAAAATATTATTAAATTCCAAAATTGCACATAAGGTAAAGTCACTTAAAAGTTATAAATTATAGGGAAAATTGTATATAATAGCAAACTATTAATTCAAATTAAATGCTATAAATATAGTTTGATTTAATTGTACCTCATAGCAAACTGTTGCTATTTCACCTCTCTCTTGGTGAATCTCGGTCGCCACTCTCGTTCTCTCCCTCGCGTCTCTCGTTTTTTATACAAACGAAAGTGTATAAAGTGTGTTTGTGTTTGTATAAAGCGAGAGAAAATTGTATATATACATATATTTTCGTTCCCCTCTCTCCCCTCTCCCCAGATCTCGCTCGCCACTCTCCCCAGATCTCGCTCTCTCACTCGCCTCTCTCACTTAATACAAAACGCAAATGTATAAAATGCGTGTAAATTGTATATATACTATACTATTTTCGTTCCCCTCTACCAGATCTCGCTCGCCACTCTCCCAGATCTCGCTCGCTCACTCACCTCTCTCACTTTATACAATTGATCTTTTTGTATATGTATACCAAAGCAGATTATACAACTGCTTTCTTTTGTATATGTATAGCGAAATATACATATTTATATTTTGCTATGGAGCGCAATTATGCAAACTTTGTTATAACATACAAATATGAATTTTGTGTTTGCTATATGTGAAAGTTGCTTTAAATTATATATAGTACTCCCTCCGTCCCATTTTTATGTGGCAACATTTGACTGGGCACGGAGTTTAAGAAATAAATGAAGACTTTGTAAATGTTTACCAAATTGCCCTTTAAAAAGTACACTCACTTTTCTCTCTCCTCATAAATGTATTGGAGCATTATTTTAAAATTAAGTGGGACCAACAAGGGTAAAAGAGGAATTGCACCTTTAAATACTTACCATATAAGGAAAGTGACATTCTTTTTGGGACTGACCAAAAGGAAATGTTGCCACATAAAATGGGACGGAGGGAGTAATAGAAAACATATCATCACTAAATATGTATAGAAAAGGTATCATAAGTATAAAAATTAGTATATCATTATTGTATAAAATACATATTTCTACAATAATATTTTGCGTATAATAAATGTCTAATGGTAAATGCACTAATGATACACATGTTGTATATCGTTCTTATACACTTGATATCACCAGCAAGAATTATCAAAAAAAAAAAATGAAGACCGCTGAAAGTTTATTTAGTACCAAACAATTATAGATCGTTTGATAATTTCATGATGTTTATATGAACTCACATAGTACTCTGTGTCAAGGGCGTATAAGCTATGTTATATTGTTATTACTTCATCGAAAAATAGTACCTAACATATAACTGAAATGACATATGGTGTGATTAAATAACATATTCTGAACGTTTTTGACACAACAAGGTGTTGTAATCCTGTGATTTTAGACACCTTTAAAAAGGGTCAACGCTTAGGTGTTCACGTGTGCGAATCTCACTCCTTGTGACCTTCTTTTTTCCACTTTTTCTGGACATCCTTTATGACCTTCGTGAAATTTCTGACTCCACCGCTCCGTGCATTTACTTAAGCTCGAATCCAAACCTCGTTGTCCCCATAGCTTCGCTGCCACAAACATCATTGTTGCCAGAACTAAAAATTGTCTTATTTATTTATATTTGTATCCTAAATAAAAGACATACTATCTTTTTTCCTAAAAATATACAGCCTAGCACTACACTTTTCATCCACATAATCATATTTTAAATTTATATCTGTATAGTTCAATTTTTGTACAATAACATTTATACAATATTATTTATTGTTATACAATTTTTGTATCATATACAAAAAATTTAAGTATATTGTATAATAATATCTACAAGTATATTTATTTTGTATTAAAAAAGGTATAACACGTTAAGACTTTTATGTGATATCCAATTACATTATTATTCAAAATCAGTCCAAAATTCCACCAACCGTCCAATCTCCGACCAACAATTTCCAAACACTATTTTCAGCAAATTAAACAACATCATTTCCAAATAATTTACAAAAATCATATTCAAAATTCAAATTCGCTTTTTAGACTTGTTAATAACTTTCTAATCTGATTCTCCTCACTCAAATTTTCTAAATTCCACTAATTTAAGAATTAATTAATTACAATATTATGAACTTAACCGAATTTAAACTTCAAATACATATATTTAATGTGTTAATATATAAAATCAAAAATTAAATATAATTAATTATAAATATTATATTCAAATGAATTAGCCTGTCTCTAATTTAAACTCACTCTAATTGAAACTGGATTATATTCGTATATATACTCCTATTAGTGGATTTGGATCTACTCCTACTAAAATTCAACACACCACGCACGTGTTTTATATTTTAAAAGTAAACATAAATATAACACATTTAAATTATAGAGGAATAATATATATATATATATATATATATAAAACACAATAACTAATTTCATATAATTTATTTATATATTATTAATACATTCAGGTTGTGTCATTAGAACGACGAAATTCAAAGCGTGAAATCATGTAAGATTTCATAAGGTCGTAGCACTAAAAAGAACAACATTTTATTGATTGATTTATCGTGATCATCATCAAATATATACATACAAATTAAACATATTGCTTGAGATTGAGATTACTCTTATCAATTAGGTCCCCAACAGCTCAAGTACATAACATTTCTTAAAGACTCTTCAGATTGCTTCAATTTCTTGTCTTTCATCATAATCATTTTATTTGAAACAATTATTGTAGATGATTTTCCAGAAAGGCTCTGCCTAGTGAGATAATTAGCCTTGGCATGTTGTTGTAATAGTCTCATTGTGTAATTCCATCTAGCAAATCCTTCATCTTTTAATGCCTCTACTGCTCCAATGCTACTTGCAACTATCCATGCTCTTCTTGATGAACTCATTTTCTTCAATCTTCCTTTTGATTGTAAACTGATAAAAAAAGGAGTGATATTTTTGTGTTAATTTTGCTTTGTTTGTTTGATGAAGAATGAAGGTGTAGTGAGACTCTTTTATAGGAAATTGGACAGCAATTTGAGGCAATTTTTTTTAAAAAAAATAATACTCCTTCGGTCCCATTTATGTGAGGTAGTTTGATTCAACATGGAGTTTAAGAAAAAAAGGAAGATTTTTAAAATTTATGATCCAAAATAAATGATATAAATTTGTGTGGCTGTAAATCATTTCATTAAGGATAAAATAGATATTTCATAATTAAATTATTACTTAATATAGAAATGTATACTCAGAGGCGGCTCTTGCTTATAAAATTTAAGGCATTGGCCTTAGGCCTCCAGTTTTTGAGGGCTTCAAATTTCTACAAATAAAAAATTATCCCTCTTTAGTTTATAATTACATTAATCCCTTAAAAAGTAACACAAACTGGATACATAATATGTAGCTCGGATACATTAAAAA